TCTCTTGAACGAGGATGGATGACCCGTTGTTTAGAATTCACCCTTTGCTGGACGGAGCATCTTTGCCTGCCAGCACTTTACCATAGAAGTTACTTATTTTGGTGCTATATGAGATGGAATCTGACGAGTCCATCTTGTAGTCCAACATACATTTATTTCAGAGGTTTTTTGCTATGTCCTGTGTGCTTATGGCTTAATACACAGGAAGATTCAGGTCTCACAAGTGACTCTCATACTTCCGTAGGCCAGAAACTTCTCCAGCTGCAAGGCCTTTAGCAGAGTTGGAACAGACACTTGGGTAACATGCTCCTGTTCCTGCTACAAAGCCATATTCTGTATAATGCACAAAACTTGCCAAACTGCAGCATCTCAATGCTTTTTCCTGATTCTCTAGGGCAATGCCTCTTGGTGAGCTCATGTAAGGGTGGAAGTACACGTTGTTAGCTACAATAACGTAACAGACATACTACTACTGTGCTACTACGTACAACACACTACTGGATTCCAGTTTATAAGAGCAGAAAACAGAGGTCATTTAGCTGTAAATGACAGAGGACTTAAGTGGGGAGTGAGACATGACTTGAGCCCTCCATGTGCTCTGTTTGCAGCATGTTCTTATTTCATTGCCGTGTTTGTGCTGGTTAAGCACATAAGAACCCGGGATGAGGTGGACCTGACTTGGGGTTATGCGGGTGGATGGACTTGGGAGGTCCTGGGAGCTGGACCATGCTGGGAAGGGCTGCAGCCAGAGGCATCTTGGTGGGCCTGAAGCCACCTGGAAGAACTGCATCTGGGAGCACGGAGCTAGGGGAGATGYGGTCCCATGATGGAAGGGGCAAACAGGGACCGTCTCGGCCTTCACCACCCTCCCCTTCAGTCCTGTTGCTTTTGTTTCATTCCAAGTCTCGGGCCCTGGCAGGGCCTGGGCCCTGCCAGCAGGAGGCAGTCGCTGCGGCTGGGTTGGTAGGAGACTCTAAGGAAATGCCTGCATCCCCCGAAGTGGGGTGAAATCCATGGATCCGAACACAGCCTAGCCTCCAGCCCTAAAACAGGCCTGAGACTGTTCTGGCACGGATGTGACCTTTGGAGTCTCACGAGGCTTTGGACCAAATTAGGTGACTCATTCCCCTCTCCTCTGAGCTCTGCAATGACAAAGCCACAACTGAGGGCCCTGCACACTCCTTTATTGGCCTCCTCATTCCAGCTAGGTTCTGGTTATACGTATAATTACAGCTGCTTCCCTGAAACAGCTCTTTCCTCACTTCATGTTTTTGTGAGGACTGGAAGCTGTTTGCTTGAACCCTCTGCAGGCTGAGGGGAACAAGCTTCATGTTTCCTCTCTTGGTGGTGTCTCAGTTGGGTTAGTAAGAGCCCCAGTTCTGAGATAAAGTACAAAATGCTTGAAGAGCAAGGGGAAGCAACTGCTCGAAAAGAACAGAGYAGAGGCAGCTGAGGAAGGTGGTTATGGCTGAATAACACCCCGCAGGATCCCAGCGCGGGAGCGTTGCGCCCAGCTGCGAATCAACAACAACCATCAAGAGGTGCTGGCCTGGAGGGGAGCCTCGAGGCAGCATTTCTGGAAGGCTCAAGAGAAAGAACAATCCAAGCTGTGATGCTCACGGCTGCCTACGTGAGTTGGGGCAGAAGGAGAGTTCTCAGACAAGTTGGAAGTCTCTTAAATGAGCTCTGCCCTGAGAGGAATCGACGTGCAGTTACGAATTGCTCAAGTGTTAGGAAGTACCAGTAATGCGTCAAATTTTTAAGAGCTTCTGGAACTGTGTCCAGTTTTGCAGTCAGAATAAACCTGATTTTAAGGAAAGGAATTTTTCACTTAAGTCCTTAATGCATGAAGGTACCCAAGTAACAGGGTGAAGGCCATGGAGGATGGTCCTGCATGCACTTAGGTACTGCTGCGGTAGCCAAAACACGTGGAAGTTGAGCGTGGTGGTGGCGGGGGGCAGTTTGCTCTAAGGGATCTTCATTTTACAGTAGGTTGGGATGTGTGAAGGCATCTGCCTGCAGCTGGATTTGTTTGGAGCRAAAAGCAGGAATGGGATTGGGAGAGGGAGTGCGGCCGACGCCACAGGGCAGCATTGAGTGACAACGCTGCATAGTTCAGCCCCGGCCTTAAATACCACACCACAAACACATAAAAAGAGAGGGTTTTATTGGTTATATACTGTCGCGCTGACAATGTTTGAGTCAGGAAAGACATGCAGGTAAAGTGTTGGATTATGTTTGGCATGCAGACTAAGAGCACTGTGTAAGAGGTGAGCACCATCGGTATCTGCTGGGAGGAGGGACGTGGCTCCCGCCCGCTGCGCATGCTGAGACGGGGGCACTGGCCGAGGGCGGAACGGCGCCAACGGCGCTGCCAGGCACCCCGGGGCTTGAGGAGCATGGGGAATACTGTGACCCTGGAGAAGTCGCTCGACTCCGGGCAAGTCTGTGGATATGAAAAGATTTCTTGCTTTATTGTCTTATAACTAAGCTGTCCCAGCCCAAACATATGTCTGCAAATACAAAAAAATAGATTTCTTATCTTAAAAATACATTCCATGCAGTGTGGGGTACTGCTTCCTCGAGGCAGGAGCCTGCGCAGCACGCTGGGCAGCCTGGCAAGAGCCTCCTTCGGGCCATTACAGTTTACTGACCGCCAGAGGCCTCGGGAAAAATGGCTTCGTGTTTCGTGGTGCGCAGGGCAGCCGCCGGGCTCATCGCAGTGTCGGAACCGCCGCTGCGGAGGGATGCGCCGGGAGGCAGAGACGAGGTCCGCTACTGAGAGGTAACACCAGGGTGGCTATTGGTAACACGAGGGTAACTATTGCTTTGAGTGCCGCTTGGGAGGCGCTCGTGGCGCTGCCGCCCTTCCCTCCGCTTTCTGCCCCGTTCCCTTTTCCCGCAGGAAGGTCTCTGGCTCCTCTGTGCCTGGGGAGCTGCAGCCGGGGAGCGCTCGGGGAGCTGCAGCCGGGGAGCGCTCGGCTGCTTGCAGCGCTGCCGGCGGCGGCGGGAGCAGCGCGGTGAAGCAGCGGGAGCCGCGGGGCTCCGAGGGGCCGGCCGCGCTCCTGCGTCCCGCCATCAAGGGCAGAGCACCGACCCGCTCCTCCGCGTAGCACATGTCACAACTTTGGAATCATCCGAATGCTGGCGCGCAGCTCCTCAGCATCACCAAGTCCACTGAGAAAGCCAAAATATTTATAGGCTAAAATTACAAATATTTCTTCAGTGATGGCAATATTTACACATATACGCTATTTTACAGCTGTTCAAAAAAAGTGTGCAATTTGAGTAAAACACATTGTGTTTCCTGAAGTCGTCACTATAAGTTTAACAATACAATCAGCTCCTATTGCACTCATGATTAGAGGGCATGGTCCCTTTCAACTCTAAAAAGGGTTTCTTCTTTCAGGTTCAAACTTAATCTCCATCGCGGTTAAAAAAAACAAACAAACAAAAAAAAAACACAGTTTACAGTTACTTAATGACATCTCTATTCATTACTTGCAAGCAGGGAGTCCGAGCCCCAGTTCAAGGTCCGTGCCATCGGATGCGGAGTGCAGGGCTCAGGCCGCCGTCAGCCTCAGCGAGGTCCGAGCGGCTGCCGGACACATTCCTGCTGCGAGGCGCTCCTGGGAGCAGGCGCTGCTGCAGCCGAGGCTCCGCCCGCGCAGTGTGCTCAGCGGCAGCGATGCAGCTCGCGCTGCCCCGGGCCTGGCCAAGGCAGAGAGGGGCTGCTCCCACCGACCGAGGGGGAAACCGGCAGCTATTGACACCGGCAGGGGTTCTGGTTTCCGTGTTTTCCCCATTTTCAGGAACGCTTTTTTGGATGAGTTGCGGGGCTGAAATCTGAAGGGTAACTGAAAGAGCTTTGTGAGCGGTTGCAGGGAAGCTTATGCTAACCTGGCATGTGCCAGTGTAAGGATACAGCGCTTTCAGGGCCAGGACTCGCACCAGCTGGAGGGGTTTGGAAGCACTGCCTTCAGCTGGAGCAACACCAGGCACGTGGGAAGACGAGGATGGTGCACTTGGGAACCCCTGTCCTGTTACGGGACAGCGGCCGTCACTGCGAGGGAGGCACCGGAGGAGATGCCGGGGGCCAGGGATGGAAATGCCTCCGTGTGCCCGAGCTCCTCCGAGGAGCCAGCGCYCAAGTCCGGAATGAGCATGGGATGTGCGAGGCATTCAGGTTGCTGCCTACGGACTGAGGATACTGGCATGGCGAGGATTTTCACAGCTACATCTGCCATGAAACAGCCTGAGGTAGCTTTTTTATTTGATTTTTTTTTACAATTTATTTTGTCTTTGAGGAAGGGAAATATCTTCTTGAGAGATACTTTCAAGTAAGGTGAGCCAAAAAAGAGCCAGCGCCYCCACCACACTGGAGTGGAGCGGGCGAGCGAGTGGGCTGCTCTTTCCCAGGCTGCTTTCAAACTGTACTTTACTTTCATGTCGCAAAATAGGCAGTTTGGGGGTTTTTTTTTTGGTTTTTTTTTTTTTCAGCAGGCCCTAGTAAAAAGGGGAGAGGAGTGTGGCAGAGAATTTCAGAAATCTGAATTTAACTGCAMAATTTCACTTTCTGCCATCTGAATTTCGCGTTTAAAAGCTTTTTCTATTGTACTGGGTCTTCACCCCATTCTCTATTAGCACTGCCCTCTCATGAAGGGGCAAGAAATAGTAGCTGATAACGGTTTATTTGAATATACTTTAAGATTATTAGAGCATCTGCACTTAGTACTAATTTAAAAGCATTATCTTTCTCTCTTTTTATGCAACCTGACCCATCTATACGAAACAAAAAGCAATAAAAGGAATGGTTAAAAATATAAATTTTTTTTGGAGGGGGGAAAACTAATATCGCATAGAAAAATCTTTTTTTCTCCAAAAATATTTCTCCTTTTTCCACGTCACCTTTACTAAGACTATCCTAGCACTAGCCCACTTTCCTTTTAGGAAACACTTYATAAGCAGCTGAGAAGGAGCAGCAGAGCTCGCGCGGGGGAAGTTGGCTGGACACGACGTTTGGGGAACAAAAAATGTGTCCTGGTGCAAGGCAGGAGGAGGATTYGCTGTGGTGCAACCTGCTGCTCGTTGGGCTCAGCGTGAGGTCTCAGCCTACAGAGGCTGAGACAGATGGAAAGGAAACTGGTTCTGAAGAGCAATTTCTGCTCCCCTTCCCTTCTCGTGTTGGTGGGTAAAGCAACTACTGGGGATGTACGTTCCTGCCCACAGACCGAGGCTGCTGGAGATGGGTAGCAGTGGTGAGGGCAACTCAGGTGAAGACAGGTGCATCAGAGGAGCGTAAACTCGCTAGGAACTCRCTGCTTTCAGTTGTGGAGATTTGGGCAGCTGTCATGGGCAGCACGGTCACGGGTATCCTGCTGGCATCGTGTCTAAATGAAGTGATTAACGAGGAGTTATCACTTTCCGGGGAGTACCATAGTTCAGCTTGAAAGAGTGCCAGTGCACTCAAGGTTTCCACAGGGAGATCCACTTATCACCCTAYGGAGAAATTTTGGATTGCAGGTACAGAGATGAAAAGTGGGAGTCCCCTGAGCAAAGTCTCTGCAGCTGCCTCTTCAGCAATGAAGGAAAATTCACTGATAAAGCTCCTGGGCCTCGCAAACCTGCTTTCAGGCTCGCTGAAGCCTCTGGAGGGGTCCCAGAGCAGGTGTGACACCGGTGAGCTTGCTCGTATCCTGTTTCTTGCTCCGCTACGCAGAGTGTTCACTTGGTGCAAGGGAATATAATTCATCTCCTAGATGTTGTCCGGCAGGATCGGGAGCTGCCCTATAAGAGAGAAGCCCACAGCATCACAGCCTGAWCAACACCTTTGCCTGCCTTGGGCAGTGTTTTGCTCGGGGACAAGCACTGCCATCCTCCTTGATGGCAAGGCAGGTAGAAGGAAAGGGCTGGAAAGGATTAGCTTGGAAGACACTTATCTCGTTAAGAGCACGGGTTCTATCTGTTAATGGAGTAAACCCAAAGCAGAAATACTCAGCCCTTGCCCTGCAGGCCCTTCCATGAGCTTTTAGTCTGCACCCAGAAGCCCTCTCTAAGCCGGGAGGTGCATCTGCAAACACGAAACCAGCCCCCGAGAGCAAACGTGAGACTGAGCTGCCCTACCAGCAGCCCCTTAGAGAGCCTGTCTCTGTGGGCCATGTGTTCAGGCTGATGCTGACACCTCAGGGCTCAGGAACTCCTATGACCTTCCAGTAATGTGTACGTTATTATGCATGGAAAATAATGCATGAATTGTGCTGAAGGCAGCTTTGAGCTCTTTAGATATTTCTTGCTAGGGTCTACGTGTAAAATGGGAAGACCTCAGTTTAACTCTTGCAACCTGGGGTGTATTTTCAGTGCTGGCAGTCAGAGCCTGCGGGGTTTGCACACTGGATAAGCCCTGAACCAGAGGCAGCAGACATTTAGTGCTGTGAAGCCGCGGACAGAGCTGCTCTGCTGCAGCCAGGTACTCCATAATGCTGCCTTAGGCGCCTAGATTGCTGCAAAATCAAGAGTGATTTTGTGAGCTGAATTAGGACTCACATGGGCAACATGCTGAGCTCTGAGCAGCTACATCAGCAAAGGGGAAATGACAGGAAAAAGAAAGAAAATCACTCTTTCCTTTATATGCACACACACACATATATATATATATGTGTTTTATATATATATATATATTTATATATATATATATATATATATATATATATATATATATGTAAAACATGTCTGAAACACTGCCTGGAAACCTGCTGGAACACACATATCTCGGCCAGCACGTCACCATCACCACAACAGGGGCTTTTTCCCACCCCTGATTATCCTATACAAACTGTGTGGCTGGGGATGCGGGGAATGACTATACCCAATGTCTGTTATTCCCTGGAGAAGATGTCTGGCCACTAAGCCATTTGAACCATGTTAAATTAAGAGCAGGAAAATAAGGTAGCACATTTTTTTTACCAATATGGGAAATCAGTAGAATAAATCACCACGGAGTTATTAAACAAGCTGTGCRCTTGTTTACACAGAGGCTCTCAGAGTGATGCTACCGGGAGGTCAGTGCATTGGCCTCTCGCAAGGCTAATTCTCTTGTGGATGCTCCCTGGACTCCCATACCTGCTCCTCTGCTGCGATTCCCAGCTGCGTGCGGGAACTGGATTCCACGTCGTGGAGGTCCATTCTGGAGGGTGTCCTTTTCCCTGCTGTGTCAACCTGGGAAAGATACTCTGAGGAGCCRTACTGTTTTCTTCTGGAACTAAGCACAAAATCTTTGCTTTCCTCCTGTGTGGAAAAAAATAAAGAGGATTGGAATTCAGGAGCTCTGAATGGGGTCCAGAGCAGAACTGGCTTMCCAGCACATGGATGGCTGTAGTGTTAGGTTCTGCTTTGATTCCCACTGGCTTTGGCTGGAAAACCTTTTATGATAACATTGTTATCCACAAATTTCTAAGGTGTTGTCGCATTAACCTCAGAAGTAAAGCAGAAATTATCACCAGGTTGACCTTACTTATGTTGTTTTTTTTCTTCTAGGGAAATATATGAGCAATAACATAAGCAGTTAGGAGACACACAGAGGATGCACTGACTGCCAGAAGGCTGAGCCAGCCCTGATCGTTTTGGGACTGGCATTGTGTTTGCTGGGACAAGCCGTAGGGCCCCATGAGGGGCCTGTTGGGCGGTAATGGAATAAATGCCGATTCCTTCAGTGATTCTTGCATTTTTTGCAGCAGGTCTGCACCTTTGGACAGCCACTCTGCGGATACAGGGACAGAGCACTGGTGTAGAGGGTAGGAAGTACAATTCAGTGCTATGTGTGTGATTGAAGGAGGAACACCAGAAGGATAATGTCCTCATTAAACCTCAACTCCYACCTTATTTAGAAGCCAGCACACAGAGGCTGGCTGTGAAACCACGTGCTGCCTTCATTTATAAAGAGAAGAGGTTGTGAAACCAACATCACCCTGGAAACAACCAACTAAAACCTCACTGATGGAACAAATCAGAGATAGGTGTGTATGGCCAAACCAACACCTCCAGGGGCTTAGGAAACACGCACTGCGTGAACAAGAGGGCAGACCATAGAGGACACAAGAAGGAGACAAGGCAGCTGAACTAAGAGAGACCAGAGCCCCTGTCTCCAAGGGACACCCCAGCCATGTCAAGACTACACTACAGAGGAAGAAAGGGATGGTGCAAACCCAGGCTAGGAAAGCTGTGTTTCAGGAGGACTGTGTTTTATGGGGAGATCAAAAGGCTTAATTCTGCAATGATTCCCTCACCGACTGGTTGGGAAGTCAGCATAAGGAACTGCAGTGAGGGATCTATGCTGAAAGGGTGAGGTGGCCATCAGTAGCCTTGCAGATCCGCATGGATCTTTCACACACCTGGCTGGAACTGACCATGCCCCTGACCAACTGAGAATGATAGCGGGCCAGGGCATATAGTAAGGGTGGGAATTTTCAACCATGTTGCCAATCATGTTCCCACAACGGTTGGCACAAAACAGGATAAAGGCCCTAGGAAAAGCTCCTGACACCAGGGATTAAACGCAGCGTCTGCCTTAACAGGGACCTTAAGCGGCTGCTTACGGATTCACGTGGAAGCGTCTCCTCCCTTCAGGTTTTAAGGTGAGGTGTGTGGCGTGGCGCCCAGCCATGGCCACCACGGCCTGCGCGCGAGCTCMGGCCCTGCGCGACGGCAGCAGCAAAACACCCTGCAGAGAAACGCTGACCGGGCCAGGGGAAGCACGAAGCCCAGCAGAGCCGGGCTGCGGGCATGGAACCGCTTCGTGAAGGAGCCCACGGCGCCAGGATCCTCACGAGCACGAGACACTAGAGGGAGCTGACGGGCAGGCCGCCCGCTCCGGCCCTCGGTACCGACAGCTTYTCCCGCCCCGTTTCTGCAGCTCCCAAGGAAGCGGCGAGGCCAAGGGCTGCTGCTTCTGCAGCGCAATGGTGCCTGCAGCTGCTGATACCTCAGCAACTTTGCCTGGAAAATTGGCTTACATCAGTGGTGAAGCATTAAGGCTGAAATTACAGCCTGTGCTTGGGCGGCCCTCGCTGCCAAGGCAGGAACGTTGCCTCCTGCAGCTCCCCTGCAAGACTTTCCATGCRTCTGTCCCTTTGGATCTGTCCCAAAGGACAGCTCGAGAGGCAAGACCCGAGCCCCCTGCCATGTTGTACCAGGGTCAGACAAAGCTGAACACTTCAGAGAGGGAAAAGAGCGAGAAAACGAGACATGTTTTTGCCCAAAACARCATGGACTCTGTGCTTTCCGAACAGGACTTTTAAGGCAATTTCTGATTTTGGACAGGGAAGCTAGGGTTAGGAAGAAGGGATGGATGCCTTCTCACAAAAACTGAATGTGCAGAGTTCCTAATGCTGTTTAAGCAAGAGCTCAGTGGAGGACGAGAGGTAGCAACTCCTGCAAGAGAAATAGCTATTTCTCTATCAGAAACATAATTACCAGTGGAAACTGACTGCTTATGGCATGAGGCATATTATCAGGTTGAAGACAGGCTTCAAAAGGAGAAACTTCGTCTTCCCATGTCCCTCTTAATGGCTTTGCATACAGTCCTCAGAAAAACAAGTGACTTACCACAAATAAACCATTTCGAGTAATTTTTTTAAAAAATTTTGGAGACTTTTTTTGAAATTTAATCTCAATATTTGTCGAATTTCTTAAAGGTCTAGTTGCAAAAGTTTTATTACTGTATAAGAATATGAACCTGTGGGTTTGTGGTGGATGCASCTGTATAACCTAGAGAGGACTCAGGACTTTCAGACCCTTTGAACTGCCAGACAAGATTTTTCCAAGGTGAAACGCAATATCCTGAGCTGTCTAAATAGGTGGTAACCTTTCAGGGAAACTTCACGCCTGTCATTTACAAGGTAAAACTAAATATACTTAATTTACAAGCAAGAACGCAGATTTTTGCATAGTAGGTGCCAGGATGAGGTTTGTTTTTAAAGGCGAGATGCAGAGAGGCACATAACTTAGTATTGAAAAGGCCTGTGCGAACCAAGCACTGATTGAGGCGAGTCCTGGAGCACGGTCACCACCCCAGGATGGGTGGCAGGTGGACACAGGAGAAAGCAAAGTGTGACAGTGTCATAATGAAGTTCTGCCTTCCTGGAAGCTGGTCCCCAAGCCAAGAATTCGGACTTCTCTGAGTAAGGGAGCTGGATTTCCAACTTCACAAGCAGGAATCTCATTTCCCTCTACATTCAAAGTAGAGAATAAAGACCGTCTGTAGACCAAGAGTGACTGTGGCCGGGAGAAAGATCTTGGCTTGGACTATCTTGCCCATGGGTAGTGAAGTCCGGCACAGAAGTGAGGCTTCATATTGCCTTCTTCCCACAGTTCCCACTAGCTAACGGAAGCAAGCCCTGTGCCTGTGATTATCCCATTCCCAGGAGTCCCCTCAACACAGGGGACTGCTTTCCTAACTGACTCTGATGAAAGCCGACCCTGATGAAAGCCACTCCTTTCCCAGCTTCCCCACCTGAACTTGCACAGTGCGGTGGATCGAGGGCTGGCTGGATGGCAGAGCTCAGAGGGTGGTGATAAATGGGGCCGAGTCCAGTTGGAGGCCTGTGGCCAGTGGTGTCCCCCARGGGTCAGTRCTGGGCCCAGTGCTGTTCAAYTTGTTYATCAATGACCTGGACGAGGGCACGGARTGCACCCTGAGCAAGTTTGCAGATGACACCAAGCTGGGTGGAGTGGCCGACACTCCGGAGGGCTGTGCTGCCATCCAGAGGGACCTGGACAGGCTGGAGAGTTGGGCAGAGAGGAACCTCATGAGGTTCAATAAGGACAAGGGCAGGGTCCTGCACCTGGGGAGGAATAACCCCAGGCATCAGTACAGATTAGGGGTCGACCTGCTGGAAAGCAGCTCCACGGAGAGGGACCTGGGAGTCCTGGTTGACACTAAGTTAACCATGAGTGAGCAGTGTGCCCTCGTGGCCAAGAAGGCCAATGGGATCCTGGCCTGCATCAGGAGGAGYGTTGCCAGCAGGTCAAGGGAGGTGATTCTGCCCCTCTACTCAGCTCTGGTGAGGCCGCACCTGGAGTACTGGGTGCAGTTCTGGGCACCCCAGTATAGGAAGGACGTGGAGCTTCTGGAGAGGGTCCAGAGAAGGGCAACCAGGATGATTAAAGGAATGGAACATCTCTCGTATGAAGAGAGGCTGAGTGAGCTGGGCCTGTTTTCTCTGGAGAAGAGACGGCTCAGAGGGGATATGATTAATATGTATAAGTTCAGGAAGGGAGAATGCAGGGAGGAAGGGGACAAGCTGTTCTCATTGGTGGCCAGCGATAGGACGAGGGGTAATGGCCACAAGCTGAAGCATAAGAAGTTCCGTCTCCAGGTGAGGAGCAACTTCTTTACTGTTAGGGTGACAGAGCAGTGGAACAGGCTGCCCAGGGAGGTTGTGGAGTCTCCTACTCTGGAGGTCTTCAAAACCCGCCTGGATGCCACCCTGTGCCACATGCTGTAGGTGTGCCTGCTTGAACAGGAAGGTTGGACTAGATGATCTGTAGAGGTCCCTTCCAACCTTAAATATTCTGTGAATCTGTGAACTTTGTTAGTGCCAGAGTCACCTGGGCGTCAATTTGTCTCTTCTACCCACCAGCCATATCRGTTTCTTTCCCCTTCACAAGACGCACAATGGAAGCGAGTGCTCAGTTCAGCTCCAACTAAAGAGTGAAGATGTAGCAGGAGTCAGAATGGAGGTTTACAGTTGTTCAGTGCCTCTGAGCTATTTTAAAATATGCTGGAGTCTGCAACTCTTTCCAAAATGAGAAGCAGATCTTATGGGACAGAATGTCTCCTTGCGTCAGCTGCACATTGAGGGAGTCCTCTCATGATTAACACCCAAAGGAGCTGGGAAGGAGCACACGCGGATTTGCGGCTCTGTTATCCTCTCAGGTGGGGTATTGACAAGAACCAAGACGGAGGGAATAGCTCTTTGTAACCCGCCACCATTCATCTGTGTATAGGAGATGCTCAGGATACTCCAAGTTTGGGATTCTATTTTCACATGGGGAGAGACCATGCAGCAAATATGCAGCCCTTCTTTACGAAATGGAGCTACAGCTGCAGACTGAGGCAGAAGCCTGTGGTAGTCTCCTCATTCCACTCATCTTCCTCTGCTACACCAAGCTAACAGCACAGGCAAAGTTGTTCTGAAAAGCCTACCATGCCCTAAGTAAGCTATGACTATGTCTTCTCTGACCCTGGTAGGGACCAAATGGAAATGGCTATAATATTTCCACACAATATTACAAGATCAGGGCAACAAGAACATCATCACTGGACTTAATTTCAAAAAAAATCTAATTTAGGTGCTTCCCACACAAGAAGCTCCACTGAAGTGAACAGAAGCTGGGAGAGGGCAGCACATAGGGAAATTATAAGAACCAAAGACAAATCAAAAGGACAACAGTACTTAAAATAGGACACTTACAGACGATGCAGTTCTGTGCCAAGGAGAAGCCACTGCAGGATCACTGATGTAGCTCCGCCGTGTTAGAAGCTCCGAGGCACTTAAGTTACTTTTGGTCCTTCGGGAGCCCAGTTCAGAGCCATTCGAAGAATCGACCACGGCACTCACCCGTGCTGAGCTCTGCTGAAGTGAGTTTGTTCTTTCATGGGTCCCTTCAGCTTCACAGAGATCCACAGAGGATTTGCACTTATTTGTACTACTTGAAATCGCATTTTTCTCTGCTTTGGCTTGAGAGTCGTCCAGGGAATGTAAGCCTTGTCTTGTTCTCCAAGAACTTCTCACAGTGACGTGCTTTGTTTCTGATGAACCCGTGTCTACAGAGCCGTGGTTCTTCCAGCTGATAGTCTCTGAGGATGTCTCACTGTTCTTTTCCTGGAGTTCAGAGGGCTTGATTGTAATGCTGCTTCTTGAGACCACTGTTTCTGCTCTGCTTCTCAGAGCTGAATCTCCAGTTCTGTCTGTCTCCGATAATTTCAGAGCAGTTTTGTTGATGCTGCTGGTGGTAGCATGCCTTTCTTTTATTGCTACGTCTACACTAGTCCTGGAGGATGCTGGCTCAGAAGGGAAGATGGTGATACTGCTTGTCATTTTATTTGTCGTGGGTTTGGAAACACTTCTCTGCTTTTCTGACTCTGCCTCACCAAGAGTCTCTCCCATTACTGCTTTCATGTCTTTTTCAACGATCGCAGGTTTAATGATGGCTTTTGACCTCAGGGCTTCTCTTGGGCTGAATGACCGCCTGGATTTAAATCCGCCTGTGCTGGTATCGGATGTTTTAATAGACTTGGTGGATTCTTCATCATTTACAGTATTCTTGTCATTTTCAAAAACAGATGCTCTAAAAATTCCCCTGGAATTGGAGAACTCTTTGGAATTGGCTTTCTTTCTTGTCTCAAAGTCCAACTGAGTGGTTGCTTTTCTGTTTCTTCCTGTTTCTTCTTCTGAATTACTTTTTTCATGACTACTTTGGATGGTTTGTGGATCTGTCTTTAAGACAGTGTTTATAGGATCTGTTCCTGAAGTTGCAGACTGTTCTGTGTCTTCTTTATCAAGACCTGAAAGAATCTGCAGAATGTCTTCTTGACTCCTTGAGCGATGCGAACGCTTTATTAATGTTGAAGGCTTTGAATTTTCAAGGAAAGTGTCTGTGACATCTTTCTCATGGGAGTCTATTGCTTTTTTAGGCCTCCCCTCTGAGGACTGCCGGTGAGATGCAGCAAACATGTTTGTTCCCTCTGCTTTAGAGCTCATGGGATCTGAGGGTGATGTCTGGGAAGGGAGGTGATACCGGTAAGCTGAAGCAGTTCCATTGGAAGAGGGGTGATTACCCTTGGGCATGTCCGCAGAGTCAGCAGCTTCTGCCTGATTCATTTTTAGCTTCTCAGGCACAGAACAGACTAATTCTCCTTTGCTTAGCTTTTCATCTCGTGCATCAGAGTTGTTTGGGCAGTTGCCCCGGAGCATCTGATAGGGCTTCTCGACCTTGGTCTTGAGGCCCGTGTCGTTAAGGGGTTTGGAAGGGGCTTTCCAAGATTTCTGCTCATGCGCAGCCGGAGGGTATCGACTGAGGACAGATGGCTGCTCCTTTGATCTCTTCACCTCATTCGGTGTGGCACAGCCTTCCTTCTGACCAGAGGAAAAAGCGGAAGCTAAACATTTCTCATCTAGTCTTTTTGTATCTGTGACAGTAGCATCTAGGAGGGTAGATGCACTGGATGCTTTTCCTGCTTTCCTGGTCACTAAGCTTGGGCTGGGTACTTGCTTACCCCCGTGGCYGTAGCTGTCATTACTGAAGGAGAAATCTCTGTTGCGCATTCGTTCCCGTCGGTGCTGGGGTGAAAGCTCCCTTGCCTTGTGCTTGGTACCTGCCAGGTCAGCTGTGATACCTCTGTATTTAGGCCTGTCGTGCTTCCCCCTGCTAGAAAAGCTTGTATCTTCATTTTCTACCTCTCCATTTTCCAAATCTTTCTGTTTCTTGATTTGCATTTTTATTTCTTCTAGTTGACCAATCAAGAGTTTGTTTTTATTCTGCTCACTCAAGTAACTGTCCTGCAAGTCATTGTTTTTGGCTCTCATTTTTTTAAGTTCTTCTTCCAAAGATTCAAAATGCTTGATCTGTGTTTTAAGTTTCTCAATTTCCTGGGTCAGATCTTTCACTTTGTTGTCTTCCTGATTTTTATTCTTTTGGTTTTCTGAYTTATTCCTGGTTTCATTTTCTACACGTTTTAGGTAATCCACACTTCCCTTCCTCCTGGTTTCTTTAGAGGACAGTGCTGGCGACAAGTCATCTTCAATTCTCAAATCATTTCTTTCCATGAGATTATTTGACGATCTTTCTAGCAAGTTAGATGCATTTCTAGTTTGATCTACCCTATTTAGTTTATTGTTTTGCTCTAGTTTCTGCGTTAGTTCCTGGATTATTTTTTCATTCTGCTTTTCTCTTTCATTAAAATGTTTTCGTTCACTGATAAAGCTCAGTGCTAAGGATTTCAGTTTTTCTAATTCACCCGTTAAGCTCTGCTCATTTTTATCTAGCCTATCTTCAGATGCTTCAAGCTCTTTCACTTTCACTCTAAGTATTTCTAGCTCCGTAGATATCTTTTTGGTTAAGTTCCTTTCTTCATTAAGGCTAAGACACAGCTGGGTACAGTCATTCTTGCTTCTGCTGAAGGCTTCCTCCAGCTTCTCCAGCTCTGCCATTCTCCTCTGAAGTCGTTCAATCTCTGCCTTCAGTTCTCGGGTGAGGCTTTCTTCCTCTTCAAGCTTTTCTTTCATTAAGCGGCAAAGCTCTTCTGCCTTCTTAATTTCTTCATCCTTGCCTTCAATCTTGAGCACTCTTTTCCGCAGAGCTTCGACATCAGCCAGCATGCTGGAATTGCTGCCCTCTGCCTGGATAACCTTGTCCTGGAGGTCCAGCAGCTCATCCTCTGCTTTCTGCAGATTCTTGGTGGCTTCCTCCAGTTCATCAAGGCGGCGACTAAGACTCTGCAATTTGAATCGTAGGTGGCGATTCGATGTCTCCTTGTAACCTGTGAATTCTGCCATGGTTYTGCTTATTCCTTCTGAGTGAAAACCTTAAACACCTTGTTTTTTTTCCTGGTATTTACAGCTTCTTTGGAGAGAGGTAATCTCACCCTGAAAGAAAAAAAAAATAAAATGAACATAAACAACTCAGAATATAAATATTTGCAGACTATAAATTTAAATTTGCATTTTTACATTAAACATGTTTCTGAGTGCTACCTTAGCATAAGAGAAACAAAACTGTGGAAAAGAGCCATAGTCCATTTACTTGGGTGATGCAGCCTAGTTCCAAAAATATCCCATTCTTGATAGTTGAGGGAAGGAAGTGGTGTCTCATGCTGGTTTGGAGGAAGGCTGCGTGCAGTCTCCAGCATCCCTTCACACTCAGAGGTTGATAGAATCAACGYGCCTGGGTGCAGCTTCTTGCACGGGGGAGGTTCACAGCTGTGCTTGACTCGAGTCCCTGCACGAGATGTCCATGTGGTGGGTACTTCCTTGCGACACATGGCACAAGCCCCTAGGTGACTCTTTACAGACAGAGATTCAGCGGATCGTAAACAAGATGTGGAAAATTAGAGAATGCAAATGCTAAGAAAACTGACACAACCAGTGCAAAGGGAAGAACTTTGTGTATGAAAGTTCTGTGTGTATGAAGTACAAACAGCTTATACTTCCTACACGTGGCAAAACATAGGTTATTAGAGCAGATCGTTTTTCCTATCAAGAAAATTGAAGAAAGAACAAACTGGAAGGTAACAGGAGCTGATGCTGCTGTTCCACTGCGTTTCTGGCACAGGGACTGCCAGAAAGATCTGTCCCACCACGCGATGTTGCGAGGTCTCCTGCACACTCCGAGCCCGGCAAAGCACCAGCTGTGCCCTCCACACGCTGCTCCTGCTCAGCRTTCAATATTGCAGCCCCAAGGAGAGACTGACCATGCCTGGAGGCAGGACTGCGTTTTATTTTTTTAATAGCTGCTCTGTGGTCGGCAGGGAGTAGCCGGGGGAGGAGGTGGCTGGAAGCTGAGCTGATCCAAGACCYGCTTCCAGTTCCCTGAATAGGCATCGTCCTACCCTGGGCCCAGGCTCTCCTGCAGCAACGGGCCGAGGGTGGCAGCAGCTCTGTGGCCCGCAGCCCTGCCCGGCTGCCCGTGTTGCTGCAGGAGGGCTCGGCCCGCAGCGTTTCTGCCAGGGCTCTCTGCAGAGGAAACGCGAGTTTCCTATTTCTCAGCGCCAAGAAGGGAAGAGCAGGATGTGGGGAGGAGACGGGGCTGTCGGAGGAGACTGCAGGGCCCGGCGCGAAGCCTTTGACCCGGGGTGATTTGGTGATTCACTTCCCGGCAGGCAGGGCAGCCGGGGCAGCCAGGAGCCACCTGCAGCGCTCCCYGCCGGGACGGGCCTGCCTCGGCCCAGCCCGCTGGGACGTTGCCTCGTTGAGAAGCGCCCCCAGGTGTCACGGGGAAGCCCAAGCGAGTGGCCACGCAGCACCCGGAGAACGAAGCGCTGTCGCCCGCCTGCCCGCCAGCAGGGTTAATGGTTAACTCGCCCGCAGCCCTGCGAAGCGGCCTCCAAAGGCTGGTGCCCAGAGGGCTCAGGGAGCTGCTCTTCCTGTTAGTCCTTCTTCACCACCTCACGTACCCCTGAAGCATCAGTTGCCACCTGAACGGAGCAGTGTCCCTCCCCTCACGTGCCTGGAGCCTTGAGGAAGCCGCACAGTGCAGGGCAGCAAGGGCTTAAGCCCCGCAGTGAGCAATGTGTGCTGAGGACACGCAGCCTCTGCGCTCAGAAGAAAGCACTTGCTGGTGACTGGGTATGCGCTGCTGGAGTCTCCACCTGGAAAGAGAACAACCGAAGCTGCCCTCACTCCTTTTCCAAGGGAACTGCTTCAGCACAGAGCTATCACAACTCTGCTTTCCCACAGCACATCCTAACCAGAAGCATATGGAAATTAACTGTTTCACCACAGAGCTGCAAGCTGCACTCACTGCAACTGCGCTGATTCTAGGCTTATRGAGGCAGCCCCATTCACTGATTGCTGACAAACAGGGATTCTCAATGCTTGCGAGACCCCCAAATACAATTTCAGATCATGGCAGCATGAAATCTCTGGTCCACAGGGGCCAAAACATTTTTCTCAAAACTTTTTAGGACAAATTATCCATAAAAATAACTATTTCAAGACCCATCAATAGGGAATAGTTGTGAGACCATTACCAAGATAAAGAGACCCTGTGCTGTATCAGAACTCTATCTATCCTGTAGCAAACCCCTCCAGGATCAACAGGACCCTGAAAGTCTTCACCTAGTTCGCTGACAGGCTCACTAGCTCACAGCTTAGCGAGCCGGGGCCTCTGCTCCTTCTCTATCTGGCCCARCCTTTCCTGCAGAAGTGACTCATAACAAACTATTTCAGACGATTCCTCCAAAAAACAAAGCAGTGAGAGAACTGCTTGAGAGCCAGTGGCCCCTTGTCATCTTTTGCTAATGCATCACAAGCCATTTAATGTAGGAACACAGTGAGCAGCTATTCTTCCAGACAGATAAACCCCAAGACAATCAATCAACTCTGTCCTTCAAAGAGAAAAGGTTGGAATTCCTTGGCTCTAACTCACACCATTGTGAGGTTTATATATTGAAGCCTGATTTGGTCATATTCTGCAGACAATGGTACATTCCAAGGAGACTCATTCCATCATCAAAGCAGGATCGAAATTATTTCAGAGAACATGCCCTCCTCTTCTCCATGTCTCCATGTCTCCATGGAAAGGAAACAAATTGCCCAGGCTTAGATAGCTAAAGTGATGGGAAAGGAATTGTAAGTAAAGATTCATTTCTGGATTTAAGGGGACTCTTGATTCATGTAGGCATTCAGTGCACAATTGAGGAGTTTAAGGAGCCAAACTTAGGATATACCTCTTGAATGAGATTAGCATACTTTAAAGTCATAAATTTGCAGAACTTTAGATGAGGAAAACCTGTCTCAGTCSCCCCCACCCCACACATCTTTATGAGAGATCTTCTTGTGCTTTCTCCAGTCTWCTCTTAGCAGTCTCCAATAATGAAGCCTGCATGCCAGCTTTGCATCTCTCTTATCCTCACAACTCCAATATCAGTAAGAGTTTTTAAAATAATTTCCAAATGAACTTAACAGTCAAAATCATAACACGAAAATCTCATTTGCTGTTTAAATATTTTCCTAAATCTGCTTTTTTGCCTGATTTGGTGGGATGACAACCCAAATATGGGCAGTATGCAAAGGATGTGGAGACACCCCAAGGATGTGGCTCTTAATGCTTGAATACCCTGAATACAAATTAAAAATAACTCAGATGTAATTCACCTTGTTTCATTTGAAGTTTGCGAATGAACACTCATTTTGGAGTAAGCAGCTCCTTACTGAATATGAAGATTTTCACATTTACAGTCTAAAAACTTAACTTTTTTTTTTTCTCACGTTAAAGTTGCTTCGTTTGAACGTCTTAAAAGGATACAGCCATAAAACAACCGTGAAAGTCTTTCAGCAATCCGGAAGATGTGAAGAATCACAGAAGGGCTGAGGTTGGAAGGGACCTCTAGGGATCATCCAGTCTCCAGCAGGGACACCCAGAGCATCTGCTCAAACAGTGACACAAGGGCCCAGAGAGCCGGTGGTATCTACATCCTTGGAGACAGCCAGAGCTCCAGCAGAAAAAGGCCCTGAAACCTCCGCACTTCCTCCTCAGCTGGAATGATTAATGGCAAGATGATTTATTGCTCAATATATTTATCTTAATATGGAGAACAGGGAGACATTAACAGGAACGTCCTTTACTAACATAAATGGAGAAGAAAGACTCCACGAGACATCTTCTAGCAGAAGGCCCTTTAACTTCTTGGCACACCCAGAAATAATTCCAGCRCTCAGAAATCAAATCTAATTGAAACTGAGCGTACCAGTATTATAAATAAAGTTTACATTTCTCAGATGGAGAGGAATCAGCCAATATAAAATGCTATCTTTAGACACAGCGAATGTTTTAAGTTGGTGCTGCTTTGAGTGAGGACTTGGATCACAGACCTGAAGGGGTTCTTCCAAACTGAATCACTCCATGACTGCCCATGGCCACTATTTTCAGCCTGTCACTGATACCAAAATTCTGATTCACACCCTGATTCTGTCCACTGACATTAAAGGGAGTATAAACACTGGCTCAGACATAGGTACCTGGATGGCAGTAATCTGTCCTTGGACAGACATGTCCTTATGCATAAAATTAAGATGGTGAAAGTTTGGGAAAAGTTGGGGAACCTTTTGGGAAAGTCCAAGAAATCCATCGCAAGAGTAATAATTTTGCCTTTAAAATCAGAAGAAATCATTGAACTGTCCAGTATTCTCAGCGGAACGAGACAGACAATCCTGCATTTACCTAAGAGCCACAGCAACATCCCCTGAGCTTTGTATTCCTGAGAACATGCCCTTCTGAGAAGCCTGTAGAAAGTCTTGGGCATCTTAAACTCGTTGAATTATTCAAAGCAGATATCATTAGAAAATGAGACTGTGGTGAGGAAATACCTATCTGGAGAGAAGATTTTTGGCTGATCTTAAAAAAAAAAAAAAAAAAAAAAAAAAAAAAAAAAAAAACCCAGACTTCCCGCAGCACCAACGGGAAGCACGTGAAGAAAATGCACCGTGAGACCTGGGCTGCTATAGCAGACCCAAACTCTGAAATAACCAAAAAAAAAAAAAAGGGGGGGGGGGGGTTATTATAGCACATTTAGCCAAACCGTAACTTCACTACAGAAAGCTGACAGAGAATTTTACCTACTTAAAAAGTAACTTACAAGTGAACATCAGAGTAAATCCTGGTGTATAATTTYCTACATAACTCATTCTGATTCTGCCTTTTTCCCCCACAGATTTCTCATTGGGTTTTCTGTTTTTAGGAAGTGCCTGCATTTCCTAACTTAGTTTCTASTTATAATTCTCATTTTCTTCCTGCTTTCTCCTCTTTTGTGTAGCATCTCTGCACAGAAGGACCTGGGGGTCCTGGTRGACAACAAGGTGACAATAGCCCACCAGGGTGGCCTTGTGACAATGGTGTCCCGGCCAGCGGGAACGAGTGTCACCAGCAG